AACTTAATTCCGTCACGAAGTATCCACGCTATCCTCTACCGTTAATAGATGATTTAATAACGAATATCCCCTATACGACAATAATGTCATCTCTTGATATAAGAAGTGGGTACTTTCAAATGGCAGTAAACCCCAGTGATATTGTTAAGACCGCATTCGTAGTAAAAAGTGGCACTTACACATTTCGGCGTATGCCATTCGGCTTATCAGTGGGGGCTCCCAATTTTCAGAAGGCAATTGACCTAATCCTGAAACCGGTGATAGGGAAGTTTGTGAGTGTGTACATGGATGACGTTATCATTTCGTCTCCATCGTTCCCTCAGCATGTTGAGCATTTAAGGGAGGTTTTTTCGTTATTGCAAGATGCAGGATTGTGTGTGTGTGATATTAAATAAGGATAAATGTAAATTGGTTTGTGATGAATTGAAGTATTTAGGATTGATTATTAGTAAGGAAGGAATCAAAATGGATGAGACAAAGGTTCAAGCCATACTTGAGATGTAACCACCACGTAATTCAAAGGAGGTATCCAAGTTTTTGGGCATGTCCCAGTGGTATGCGAAATTTATTAAAAATTTTGCTGATCTTTGTGAAACCTTTTATAATCTTAAACGAAAATTTTAAAAAATTTTCTGGTCAATTGAGGCACAGAAGGCATTCGACGCGGTCAAGGCGGCCATAACAAAGGCGCCAGTTTTAAAATTGCCGGATTTCAAAAAGCCTTTCGAGTTATTTACAGATGCAAGTTCAATAGGTGTGAGAGCGGGTCTAAATAAGGAACATTGACCAGTTGTATTTGCTTCGCGTAGTCTGAGCAAAGGTGAGAGGAATTACACGGTAACCGAGAGAGAATGTCTAGCAGTAGTGTGGGCGCTGAATAAATTCAGAACATATTTAGGATCACAAGCGATTAAAGTTATTACTGATCACGCTGCTTTAACACGTTTAACTCATGGGAAATATTTGTCGAGTAGGATGATCAGATGGGCACTCAAATTAGCGGAATTTAATATAGAATGGGAACATAGACCTGGAACTCAAAATGCGGTGGCGGATGTTTTATCCAGAAACCCGGTTGAAAGTATAATGGGCGCAAAAGTTAATTGTGCAATAATCAGAGATCTAGTACTTACGTCGCG